TCTGCTTCAACCTCTCTTTAATAAATATGATACAGAACATAATAAAATGTTAAAGGTCCCTTGATTTTAATTTAACAAGCAAGACATAATTAAGCCATTCATTTTTATNATTGATTGAATTCAAGTGTTGCTTAGAGATTACAGGTTATGAGTTACATTGGACACAAATGAATGAATAATGAAAATTTATTAGGGGTGTATTTGTAAACTTATAAGGTGTTTTTGTTATTTTTTAAACTAATAGGGGGTAATTGATTTTTTACAGGATACCATGGAAAGGAACCGGAACCTGCATTTTAGGTTCCGGTTCCTTGAATTGAAGAACCTGCACTGTGCGGTTCCGGTTCATTTTTTTGGGAACCTGCACTGTGCGGTTCCGGTTCCGATTCCCCCAGAAAATGCAGGGTACCCGGAACCGCTCACCCCTAAATATGATACAGAACATGATAAAATGGTAAAGGTCCCTTGATTTTAATTTAACAAGCAAGACATAATTAAGCAATTCATTTTTATATAATTTATGAATTTTGAGATGTCAAGCACTGATTTGAAAAGAATAGCCCTTTTTACTTACCAATTGGATCAAGTAAGTCTTCCATTCTTCTAGGCCTTCCACTGGACTTTGTTTATTAAGCAAACCTATCATATTTCTAAGTTCACTCACTATGCTCAAGAAATCAGTACTGTTGTTGCATGCCTCCAATTTAGATGGTAAACACAATTACATTTCATTGCTTTATATAATGTACACAATTACATAAAGTACTGTTGCAAGGAAACTGATAATTTTATATATGATGTGTTGTTCTTTATCTTTTCTCATACATTTTATGGTTGGTTAATTATATGTATGATAATTGTAAAGACGTTTTTAAGGGTCATGAAAGTGGTAGGTGTAGTAGAAATTCATGAGAGAAATGAATAGTTAGTCAAGCTTAATTTTCTCTTAATGCACGACGCCTGCCAAAGTTAGTCCTTAAATTTCTGTGACTTTCTAGCATTAATCTGAATGGACGACCCAAGACCTACATACTACTGTTAATGCGAAATGAATTGCGAAGTCAAGTTTCAATTAATGAGAAATTAATTCCGAAGCCAAGTTCAAACTATGGGGTATGAGAATGTGAATGACTTTGCAAAAATTAACTATAAATGAAATTATTTCAAGTTCAATTAATGAGAAATAAATTTCGTAGTCAAGTTCTTCCTACTTCAGTCAATGTCAATGACGAGTGACTCAAGATTACACCCAAATCTGACCCGACATACATCCACCTCATCCAATCAAACTAAGGACATATTTTTTTATAATTGTTGTAATATAAATGAAGTTAATAATACTACGCATCCAAAAAAATAATCCTAAATTTTTCATTTCAAATGATGTGTAATCTTATATGGTGATAAGATGTAATTAAAAACATGATTTGGTGAATCATATGACAGTACCAAATACACATCGTTTTGGGATATGAATTTAAGATATCTTGTGGGATGTGTAACATTAGTAAATGAAAATATCATTATATGTCTATAGCCATACAAAAAATGTTTATCATAATGTCGTCCTAGATTAATCCAATTGTGTGAATCACTATTATTACATAAGTTAAACAAAAAACTATACCATAAAAAGAACAAGAGCAAGATTAATATTGTAAATATTACAAGTTTTATATAATTATTACATAAGTTTCAGCAGATACAATGTTGTTCTACATATCTTTCTGAAATTTGTTCACCAATTGCAAAGTCATTATTAATATTCTAAATATTCTAAATTTTATATTTCCATGTTAAGCGTCTTATGTTAAATGTAATTAATCTATAATTCAATGTATTAAAAATCTCGCAGTCCATATGAACATACAGCAATGAGTGTATGTTGTAATGGAGGCATTAAAATATTCCAAAAAGGCCCAATAAATAAGACATCTTGACAAACGCCGCATATAGAGGGAGGGAAAATCCCATAATTGGGATTTGTCCAGATAGCTAAGTGGATATTAATATACCATTTTTGATTCAAATGCGCAGAATGAAAAAGAAAAAATATAGTGAAAATTAATTAGATTTCGCTCCCATGATTGTAAGCACATGGAGCGGAACCTAACTAATTTGCATTAATAGTGGTCTTCCTTGTAATAATTATGCTACCTTTTCATTATTATAAATTTTTATCAATCCATTTACATATCTTACTTCAATTTCTAATATGTGTAATGGAAAAAGTCATTGGTTAACTTATTTGACTTAATATTACATAACTATATGCTTGAATAAGAGAGCAGGGGTGGTTGAAACAATGATTTTTAACAAAATCCGTACTGGAAATTAAGCAATAAATAAATAAAATACTTCACTAAGAACTGTTTAATAATTAATAAGCTTCTTCTAACCTGTCTTAAAAATTATGATATATACAGCACATTATTAGAAGTGTCTCCTCAATGAAAATACCATGGCATAGATTCAACGAGCGCGACAGAAGAGGATTTTATTTCTTCATTTAACGAACAATATAAGGAAACAATAAAACAAGAACAAGATCATATAATCCCTTAATTATTATGAAATAGACTATATTATTACATAAGGAAAGTATAGGGCTATACCATGCATATATAGAAACATCTATAACAATTAATCATGAACCCCGAAATTGATTAGCTTCGCTCAATGTCCAATAATGCATGTCTCCAATGTTTTAATAAACAACTCAGGGTGAAACCTGACAAAGTTGTTGGGTGTCAGGCTAACCAGTTTAACCGGTTTGATCGGTCGATCAAACCGGAAGACAAAACTTTTAAAATTCAGCAAATACACTCCTAAAAATTCCAGTTAAGTCTGTATAAGTTTAAAATTTAGCAAACACATCCCAAATACAAATCGGTCAATGACTGGTTGGCCGCGGTGACACCCCAAATGTAATCCTAATCATCTTTTGAGCCTATTCCATAGAAAATCTACCAAGATCTGGCCAAAATTGGTTCGATTTCGGCCAGATCTCACCAATGTCGACGTCAAAAACCCTTCCCATCACCCCGAAAATACTCCCCTTTTCCTCCCAACCGAAATCTATCTCGCCCCACCCCCGTTAGCCTCGCCAATCACGGGCAAAAGCCAGTTGCTACCGCCGTAAGTTTTTTTTTGATTTCCGATTGATTTACTCACCAAAAATCAACATTGTCGCCACCATTGCACTCGTCGACACCTTTTTTTCAAATGCCCCAACATCCTGACCTTCAATTATTTGATGATCATTATCCTAAATTCTAGAGTTTTGGGTGAATAGGAAAAATGTTAACCTAGCTCGGTGAAGCTCCTAAGTCTCGACTAAATCGGCAGGGTCGGGTTTTAAAACAGAACAAGTCTCCATCCCTCACCTAACACAGCCACTATCCTCGTGAGTCCCACCCCCAAATTAATCTGAAACCAAAAAAGATTTTGTTCTCACTTTACAAAAGGGGTGAATGATGGACTCTTGGACAAATTTGTGGAAGTTTAACAGGCACAAGAAACTAATTATGAATTAAATAAATATTCATATTTTATTCTTTGACACGTAAACAAACCCAGTTTTTTTTTTTTTTAGCTTTTCCCATTAGATATTTTTAGCTTTAAAAAAGCAGCAAGATAAAGCATTCAATTAAATTAAGAAGTTTTGCACTAAGGATGTCGATTTTGTCTGTATCCTGTTCTAATATTCTTTAACTTGGAAGTAAATAAAAAGTGGAGGGGTCATCCACGAGTCAAGTTAAAATTAAGTTAGCGTTATCTTCCCTATTTATGAACCAGAGTTTTATATAAATTGAGTCAATACAATTCTGTTTTGTGTGTGTGTTTGTAATTGAGCTGAATTAATAAAAGTATATTTAGGTTTGTGAAAGAGAAGAGACAAGGCTCGATTCTTGTTGTAACATATGAATTGGAGAAAAGACTTTGAAAAAGATTGACGAGTTTCAACTTATTTTATACGGAACAACTCGTGTGTCATGTCCGGCCACCCTCAAATCGATTTTATTTTCGTTTTCTTTCCATTAAAATATAAATTCACATTAATTCATTGCAGACTCATGGTGTTGATATTTGCTGAATGTTACAAATTCATTTGAAGAATTTTACATTTAATGCAATGATCAATCTACGACATCATGTATAATATTTATAAGCCTCGCGTTCTATTATTATATTACAAGTCCTGCATTCGTTAGTTTTACTTATAATTTTTTAAATACTAGATCAAATATTGAATCTATGCTCCAAGACGTTTGTTGACTTCTTGGAAATGAGTGTTGCAAGGGGTAAGCTATGCACGTTAGATGGGCTGAGATTTGAAATAAACTTCACATTGGTGACTTCATGTGTAATGTGTGTCAGAAAGCTAATTCAAGGAAACATCCATCAAAGATTCGGAAGCTTCCCAATCTGAAAACAACCTAGAGTTCATTAAATTTCTCCAAGAAGGGTGTATGGTTAAGAGCTTTTACGAACTGCAATTTGGATGAGGTTTTTGGTTTTGTGACAAAGAATTACGTGAAAGCAAAATTATGGTCTTACTCGAAACAAAACTTAATTAAGCTTCCCAATCTGAAAACAAAATAATACATGAATTGGAGAAAGAGAAGAGACAGGACTTGAGTCTTGTTGCATTGTATGAATTGGAGAAAAGAAGTGTGAAGAGAGAAAGATTTTGAAAAATTTAGCCCCCATTATATTTTTAAACTAAAATTATAAAAGATGTCACCAGCGGCTGTCGGTAAAAAAAAGTAACAACATATCACTTTTACTTTATATTCGTAATTTATATATTCAACATATTTATCCATGAAGATGGGAGTAGTTGTTGACTTGTAGTCGAACGAACCATGCAGTAGAATCTGATTATGGTCTTCCTGCAATAATTAATTAATTATGCAACTTCTTATCATCACTATAAATTCTCATCAATCCTTCAACATATCTCAGTCACTTAATACGACCTACCATTTCACTTATCAATGGAGAACATCAAGTGCATCTATTATGTTGCAGTGTTGTTTGTTCACCATTTCATGTCTAGCTTAGCTATGCCTGCCAAAAACTTAACAACCGATCAATCTGCTCTTCTTCAATTCAAAGCACATATCACTTCCGATCCTCGCCGTGTCTTGGCAAATAATTGGTCCATTCCTAATCCAGTTTGCCGATGGGTTGGAATTTCTTGTGATAGTCGCCATGGAAGAGTCACAACCTTGAATCTTTCATCAATGGATCTTGGAGGCAACATTCCTCCACACCTTGGTAATCTCTCATTCCTAGTGAATCTTGATCTTGGCGACAATAATTTTCATGGCCATCTGCCAAATGAACTGGGACAATTACGCCGATTGAGAAGTTTTTCTATCGGTGACAATAAAATAAGTGGAGGCGTTCCAACATAGATTGGTAGCTTATCTAAAATCCAGTTCTTGTATCTTTATAATAACAGTTTCACCGGTACTATCCCGCATTCTCTCTTCAATTTAACATTGCTTGAGGTCTTGGGACTAGCAGGCAATAATATCGAAGGAAATGTATCGTCAGAGATTGGGAAGCTCACCAATTTGAAAATATTCCACATGGCAAGAAACCACCTTTCGGGCACCATACCTTGGAGTAGCATGGCCAACATTTCCTCATTACAAAGTCTTCGATTAACCAACAATAGTTTGTTTGGCAGTTTGTCTGATGATATCTGCAATCATCTTCCAAACCTTGAATCGCTTACTTTATACCACAATGGACTTTCCGGCCAGCTTCCGGCGAGTTTAAGTGATTGCAGCAAGCTTCACATATTGTCATTGTCGTATAATAAATTCACAGGACACATACCACAAACTGTTGGAAATTTGAGTAAGCTTATACATTTGTATCTTAATGACAACAGGCTAGCAGATACACGATTCCACTTTGGTATTTTTAAAGCATATAGCTGATGTGTCCATTAACAAATATATTAGTATTATAATATTTTCTTCAATTGGTATAATCTTATAAAAGCAATATTTAATTTTCATATTTAATGTCTTGTAACTGTAAAAGTTGGCCAAAAGCTCTAAGTTTTAAGCACCAACGTTTTTCTTCTGGCAGGTGAAATTCCACGGGAGATTGACAACTTGCAAAGTCTACAGTTTCTAGCTCTCGGTTCCAATAGTTTAACTGGTAATATTCTTCTCTCAAAATTTAATATTTCAATCGTTACTTTATTTATAGTTAATATTATATATGATAACACATCATCTGAAACGTCAAATTTTAACAAATATTATTTAAAAATAACCTTAAGTTAGAATATTGTGGTTAAAAAAAAAATTGTATATATAAAGAAAAATTAGCTTTATATTTAATACGGAGCAAATAAATATGTTCAATAAGTTACAACTCAAATAATCAGTAACCAAACTTTTAACAAAAATGAGTTAAATGTTGAGTTAGAATTGACTAAACCATTTAGCAGCTGGTGAGAGTTGAAGATTTTTAAAATATATTTAATCTAAATGTGTGTGTGAGCGTTGATTATTTTTGACGTTGGATCTTGAATTTACAGCTGGTCTCCTCCCGTCAAGCATCTTCAATATTTCTTCTTTGGAGTTAATTTCTCTTCGCAACAGTGGCCTATTCGGTAGTTTTCCAGCGGATATCTGCAATCATCTTCCAGCACTTCTGGAACTTGAACTTTCTCGTAATATGATCAGCGGCACTATTCCAAAGAATATCAACAACTGTACTTCTCTAGAATTTTTATATATGGACGAAAATCGCCTGACAGGTACTATCTTGGCTTCAATTTATGTATTTTAGATATTAATACTGTTTCTTAATTAAATATTTATTTTCATTTTATAACTGAATCTCGTAAACTCCTTTAAGGTATCCCAAAAGCTGAAGGCTTTATGCATCAATGTTTGCATTTTGGCAGGTGAAATTCCAGACGAGATTGGGAATTTGCAGAGTCTACGAGACTTGGCCCTAGGTTCCAATGGCTTAACTGGTATAATTCCAGCATCAATCTTCAATATTTCAACCATGGAAAAAAATAATCTATCCCTGAATAACCTTTCGGGCTGTCTACCATCAAGTTTTGGCCAACGGCTTCGGAACCTCGTGCGTCTTATCATAGGGCTAAATAAACTTACTGGAACAATCCCCAACCCCATCTCCAATGCTTCCAAACTCACTTTCGTAGATCTGGCCGGAAACTCATTTTCTGGCCTTATTCCAAATACATTTGGCAACTTGAGTCCTTAAATTGCTTAGCCTTGCGGGAAATAACTTGACCACTGAATCACCCAATACAGAATGGAGCTTTCTCTCTTCTCTGACAAATTGCAGAGAACTAGAAACTCTTTTGTTAGATCCTAATCCATTGTATGGTGTCCTTCCACTTTCAATTGGGAATATATCTGCAAATCTTCAAACTTTTAGTGCAAGTAATTGCAAGATCAAGGGCAGCATTCCCGAAGAAATTGGTAATTTACATAGCTTGTTTGATTTAGACCTTTCAATGAATGACTTGGATGGATCTATTCCAACAACTGTTGGAAGATTACCCAACCTCCAAATTCTAAGCCTCAGAAATAACATTTTGCAGGGATCCATTCCATATGAGCTTTGTGACGTAGAGAATTTCTATGGATTATACTTAAGTGCCAATAATCTCTCTGGACGCATACAACCGTGCTTGTTGAAATTGATTTTTCTAAGATATCTTTACTTGGACTCCAACAGATTGACTTCTAATATACCATCGGCCTTATGGAGTCTTAAAGACATCTAGGAAGTAAATCTGTCATCAAATTCTCTAAGTGGTTCCCTCTCTTCAGACCAACAAAATTCAAATGCCAGAGTTCTAGATTTATCAAAGAATCAATTAGCAGGCAATATTCCTGTCACTCTTGGGCACATTGAAACTCTAGAAACTCTATCTTTGGCTGACAATAAATTTGAAGGGCCTATCCCTTCCACATTTGGCACTTTGATAAGCTTGGTATCACTGGATCTCTCGAACAACAGTCTCTCGGGTGAAATTCCTAAGTCATTGGAGTCGCTCTCATATCTTAAAAACTTTAACGTGTCTCTTAATAGGTTAGAAGGAGAAATTCCCACCAAAGGACCTTTCAAAACTTTTCAACTCAATCATTTTTGTTAAATCATGCATTATGTGGCTCACCAAAGCTAGACGTACCTCTGTGCGAGAGTGGCACCACCAAACGATCTAAGACAACCACTACAATTGTATTGAAATACTTATTGCCTCTGATCTTGTCAATTTTTATTGATAGTGATCATCATTGTCTTCATAAGGTGTCGGTACAGAAGAAAAAATTCTCCAATTGATGAAGTTGATTTGTTGCCTTTAGCAAAATGGAGAAGAACATCATATCTAGAAATTCGACAAGCAACTGATGATTTTAGCGAGTGCAACTTGCTTGGTACAGGTAGTTTTGGCTCAGTATTTAAAGGGATACTTTTAGATGGGACTAATGTTGCGATAAAGGTCTTTAATTTGCAAGTAGAGCGAGTACTTAGAAGCTTTGACACCGAATGTGAAGTGTTGCGCAACATTCGTCATCGGAATCTCATAAAAATCCTGAGTAGTTGTAGTAATATTGATTTTAAGGCCCTGATACTTGAATTTATGCCGAATGGTAGCCTTGAGAAGTGGTTGTATTCTCACAACTATTTTCTAGATATGCTACAAAGGTTGAATATAATGATAGATGTTGCAGCTGCTCTTGAGTACCTCCATCACGGTTATTCAACACCTATCATCCACTGTGATTTGAAGCCTAACAATATCTTACTGGATGAAGATATGGTTGCACATGTGAGTGATTTTGGTATTGCAAAACTTATGAATGATGGAGACTCTAAGACACGAACCACAACGCTAGCCACTATTGGGTATATGGCACCAGGTGATGTTTCAACTCTAAATCTCAAATTTATATTTTAACCGTTCACACATACTAATATGATCTATTACCAATTCGAATATTATATACCGATCCTTTATTTTTATAATGAAATTAAATTTAAATTTTGTAGAGTACGGATCAATGGGGATTGCTTCCACAAGAGGTGATGTCTACAGCTTCGGTGCTTTATTGATGGAAACTTTCACAAGAAAAAAGCCTATAGATGAGATGCTTGTTGGAGAAATGAGTTTAAAGAATTTGGTAGAGTCATCATTGCCTCATAAAGTGATTGAAGTTGTGGATGCTAATTTGTTAAGAGACCATAATCCTTTTGATGCCAAAGCGAATTGCATGTTAGGTATTATGGATTTGGCTTTGAATTGTTCCGTGGAGTCACCTGAACAGAGGATCAATATGAAAGATGCATTAGCAAAACTCAAGAAGATCAAATTGCAGTTTCAGAAAGCTGTTGGGACACCTAAATAATTTATTATTGTTGTGTATGTTCTTTAAGATTTTAATTTCTTGTTTAAGATCATTCTAATTAGGGATTTTCACCCTGCTTCAATTTCTAATATGTGTAATGGAGATGTGCCATATATGTGATCCACAAAACATTCACTTTTATCTTCTTGCAGATATGATATTAAAGACCTACATGCTTGAATAAGAGTGCAGAAAAGGTTGAAACAATTTCTATAACCTCAAAAAATTTGTAGTTCTATCAACAACTTTTATTTTTCTAGACATTCTTAAACTGGAAACAAAACAATAACTCTAGTGAGTTGTCGCTAGATTGAAAACCTTCTTACTAATGGGAGCAAGATGTTGTTAGTGGGAAACAAGTCCCAGTTACTTCTTCAAAGGCAATCCAATACTTATGGAGGGTGGGGCTCTTTTAGTGGTCTTATTTTGGCCTGGGAGGATCCATCAAAATGGGATGATATAGGAAAGCAAGGCCTGCCAACAAACAACTACTTGATGTTGAAAACAATAACAAATTTTTAGTCAAGAGGCAATATAGATATGATGCAAATTGTTGTTTTGGTTGTTAAGATTGGAGAAAGCCTATACTGGTAGTGCCTCCTATTGGCAGTATATAATGTTCAGTTTATGAGTTTACGTTGTAGTTTGTACAGGTGGTTAGTTGGCTAATTAGTTTGTTTAGTTGTAAGTAAAGTTAGTTGTTAACTTGAGTAAGTTGGATGTTAACTACTGTAACATATATAACAGTGAGAAATGAATAAAGAAGTAGTACGAATTTTCTCCAAATTTCTTCTGTTGCATTATTTTCATTCTCTTCAACATGGCATCAGAGCACGAATTTTTCCACATTTCGATCTGCAATCAGATCAATCAAACATTTAATTTTGTTCTTGTAAAGCTCAAAGGAGCTCAAAGTCATACTTAATTTCATTCTGGTGAAGCTCATCGAAGCTCGAAATTCTTCAATATTTCAACTCAAGGTTCTTGAAGATACAATTCAATTGTTATGGCAATTTCAACTGAAGAATCAGTCATCCCTTTATTTGACTCTAATTCGCCTCTTTATTTTCATCCTTCGGACACACCAAGGTCTGTTCTAGTATCTAAGCAGCTCATAGGCACTGAAAATTATGGAATTTGGAGTCAAGCAATGACTTTTTCGTTGTCTGCAAAGAATAAGTTAGAGTTTGTTGATGGAACATGTACGAAGTTGTCGGTACACGCTCATTTAGTTCCATAATGGAGAGATGTAATTCATTAGTTCTTGCTAGGATCTTCAATTCTGTTTCGAAAGAAATTCTTAACGGGATTGTTTGCTCGACCACTACTTCTCAAGTGTGGCAAGACTTGAAAGAACAATGTCACAAGGTTAATGACACCAGAGTTTTTGGTATTCATTGTGAAATTGTTAATTTGACACAAGGAACAAACACAGTGGTGATCTATTACAACAAGCTCAAATCACTTTGGATGAGCTGGATTCTTTGGTCAATTTACCTGTTCCAGATAGCATTTATGCAAAGGCGTATCCTGAACATCTCAATCAACAAAAAATATTGCAATTCTTGATGGGATTAAATTATTCATACTCAATGGTACAAAGTCAAATTTTGCTAATGAATCCTCTATCAAATGTCAAACAGGCTAATTCGATGGTCAATCAAGATGAAAGCCAAAGAATTCATACTAGAATGAATATCAACTCAAAGGTGACCACCGCTCTTTGAGTTCAAAATAATAATAAAAGTCAAAATCAAGGACCAAGGTATAAGGGCAAGAAGCCATATATTGAGTGTGACTACTGTCACTTGCCTGGGTATAAATGAGAAACTTGCTATAAATTGAATGGTTAGCTTGCGGATTACCAATTCACAAGAGGCAAAATAAGTTCGAAAGCTAAAGTTTCAGCCAATCAAGTGCAAACTCAAAACTCAACTCCAGAAGTTTTAGATGCTAGCAATTTTAATACATCAGTTGGTCTAGTACTGACTTCAGAGCAATACAATCAAATTCTCCAGTTATTGGGCAAAGAAAATGGTGCTCTTCCAGCTACTAATCTTGCAGGTAATTTTGCTACTTTACTCTCTTGCTTGGATGATAGTAGTTGGATCTACAGGAGCTACAGACCATATGACTTCCAATTATTCCATTCTAAAATCTCCTATCACCATAGAACCATCATCAAAATCTCTTGTAGGATTACCAAATGGCACCAAAACTTACATTAAGCATGTTGGTTCTGTTGATCTGGGATTCTGGATAATGGTGTTCATCTTTCATAAGTTTTACATGTACCAGATTTTAAACACAACTTATTCTCTGTTTCAAAATTCACTGCTTCTAACCATTGCTCTATCACATTCTATACTGACTTTTATTTCATTCAGGATCTTTGCAATGGCAAATTGAAGGGGATTGGTAGAAGCCAAGGACTATATTATTTTGATTCAAATATGAAAATTCCATCAATATTGTCAGGTGTAGAATTGTTAAATAACACTATTTGTAATGCCTTAAATGTTTCACATTCAAACAGTACTATACCTCTTGATTTTCAGTTGAATAAAACTTTGATTACTGCTGCTTCTTTTATGTCTACAAGTTTATCTACTAATCTTGAGTTATGGCATCAAAGATTAGGTCATACTCCTTATGCAGTTTTGCAACTTATGCATCATAAACTAAATGTGTCTAATGCTCTTCCTTGTATTGTTTGCCCATCAGCTAAACAAACTAGGACTCCTTTTCCTTATAGTAGTTCACAATCGAATAGTATCTTTGATCTCTTGCATATGGATGTTTGGGGTCCATATACGACACAAGTCATGATAATACTAGGCATTTTCTTACCATATATAGTAGATGATTACTCTAGAGTTACTTGTCTCTTCCTTATGCAGTTCAAATCTGATTCTTTAGCCACCATCAAACACTTTCTTCAAATGGTACAAACTTAGTACCATTTCACTCCAAAATGTATTAGGACAGATAATGATCTTTAATTTTTCAATAAGGATTGTCATGGCTTATTCACTAGTAAAGGCATTATGCATCAAAGTTATTGTGCCTATTCTCCCCAACAAAATGGTATTGTTGAGAGGAAGCATAGGCACAACCAACAAGTAGTTGTGGCCTTGAAATTTCAGTCTAATGTTCCAAATCATCTTTGGCGTTATTGTGTGCAAATAGCCGTGTATCTAATTAATAGGTTTCCTACTTTTGTTATTCTAGGATTATCACCTTTTGAAAAGTTTTTTGGTAAACCTCCCTCATGGGATCATCTAAAGGTGTTTGGTTCTTTGGCTTATGTTACTGTCCTCACTTCTAAGGATAAGTTGTCCTCAAGGTCTACTTCTTATGTTTTCTTGGGTTACTCTTTAACTCAAAAAGATTATTTGCTTTATAATCTTTCCTCACATTGTGTTACTATCTCTAGGGATGTCATTTTCTATGAAACTATATTTCCTTTTACCTGGTCTAAATCATCACAACATCATTTTCTTGTTGACTCTACTTTCCTTGATTTAGAGTCAGTTTAGTCTCTTGTACTTCCTACCTCTAATGATGATTTGCCTCTTGTCTAGACCATAAAACCTCCCTTCTCACACCCCACTTCATTAATTGACTAGCCTGACATTGCCTACCCTGCTATACCTCCACCAAACCAGAATGTTTCTTCTCTACCTATTAGGAGATCCAATCGAGCTACTAGACCTCTAATTTGGACATTAGAATTTGTTTGTCCCTCCATTTCCACTTCTTCCTCAGCTAACTTCACCCACTATCTCATTTCCAATTTTGTTTCTTATGCTCACATTTCACCTACTTACAAAGCCTATTTGTCAAATCTATCCTTGGTGGAACCTATTAGTTTTTCTCAAGCCTCTCATAATCAAAATTGACTGGCTGCTATGCAGAAAGAAATTCAAGCTTTAGAGCAAAATAATACTTGGCCATTAGTTCATTTACCTCTTGGTGAAACCCCCATAGGTTGTAAGTGGGTGTATAAGCTTAAGTATAAAGCTAATGGTTCTTTGGAAAGGTATAAGGCTCAGTTAGTTGCTAAGGGATACACTCAGCAAGCTAGTATAGATTATGTCGAGACCTTTTCCCCTGTTATCAAGATGGTTACTGTTGGGACCATTTTGACATTGGCTTCCTTGCATGATTGGCCTTTTTATCAAATGGATGAAGACAATGTCTTTCTACAAAGGCATCTACAAAAGGAAACTTACATGACTTTACCTCAAGAATTTGTAAAGTAAAAGGCAGAACACTGTTTGTAGGCTTCACAAATCCCTTTATGGTTTGAAGCAGGCTTCTAGAGCCTAGAATTATAAGCTTACACACTTCTTGCTAGAGGTTTTAGCCAATCTAAGTCTGATTATTCTTTGTTTATCAAGAGTGCAGATTCTTACATTGTCATGTTATTAGTGTATGTGGATGATATAGTCATCACAGAAAACAACATTGATATGATCCATCAAACCAAACAAATGTTGCATTCTAATTTCAAATTGAAGGATTTGGGTTTTTGAGATATTTCTTAGGTTTTGAGGTTGCTAGATCCTCTAAGGGCATCAGCTTATGTCAAAGGAAGTATGCATTGGAGCTTATTTTTGAATCTGGACTATCTGGTTCTAAGTCTTCCTTAGTTCCTATGGATTCTAATTTGAAGCTCACATCAATTGCCTATGATGATCTATTTCCCACTGGCAGTGATCCTCTTCTTTCTGACCCAAGTGTCTATCAAAGATTGGTAGGGAAACTACTGTATTTATGTATGACTTGACCTGATTTATGCCACTCTGTTAACTTGTTAAGCCAGTTCATGCATAAACCCAAGGATTCTCATATGGCTGCTGCACTTAAAGTAGTCAAGTATGTTAAGTTAGCTTCAGGATTGGGATTGTTTTTCCCATACTAAGAATACTATGGATCTGTTGGCCTATTGTGATTCTGATTGGGCCTCTTCCCTCATGACAAGGAAATCAGTCACTAGATATTGTATTTTCCTTGGTAAGTCTTTGATCTCCTGGAAATCCAAGAGGCAAGCAACTATTTCCAAATCATCTTCTGAAGTTGAATATAGGGCGATGGCTTCCACTGTATGTGAGATCATTTGGTTGGTGCAACTCTTTACTGAACTTCGCCTTCCTAAGTTGATTCATGTTCCTCTCCACTGTGACAATCAAGCTGCAAATCACATTGCCTCCAATCCCATGTTTCATGAGAGGACAAAGCATGTTGACAATGACTATCATATTGTCAGGGAACAAGTCAAACTTAGCCTGATTAAGACTGCTTATATTCCTTTTTCAGAGTAGCTAGCTTATATGCTCACCAAAGCTCTTGACAGCAATCTTCATTCCAAATTATTACACAAGTTAGGTGTTCTTGATCTTTATCACCCTCCAACTTGGGGCGGGGGGCGGGGCTTAAATAATGTTCAGTTTATTGTTTAGTTTACATTACAGTTTGTACAGTTGGTTAGTTAGCTAAGTAGTTTGTTTAGTTGTAACTAGAGTTAGTTGTTAACTTGAGTAAGTTGTATGTTGACTACTATAATATATATAACAGTGAGAAATGAATAAAGAAGTAGTACGAATTTTTCCCAAATTTCTTCCTTTGCATTATTTTCGTTCTCTTCAACACCTCATGTTCTAGGTTAATGTGTTGTGCGACAGGGTATAAGCAACATTAAACTCAGCTTTTAACGTGCCTTCCTGGGAGTTCTTATTCTGGCTTCTGTTATTTTTGTGATACTAGGCTTTTGATACTTGCTCTCTTGCTTTGTATATCCTACGCATGCTATAGTTTCTTTTGTGTTGTTTTGTTCCTTGGGCCTCTCCAAGGTTCTTTTGTGCAGGGATAGTTACCTTTTTAGGATGTATTCTTTATTCATTTATAAAATAACCTCTTACCCAACTTTTTAATTTAATTGAGTTAATTCTTTATCATATGTAATATCAAACACATAGATTACTCAAACAATCCGTAACAAAACTTTTAACAAAAATGAGTAAAATGTTGAATTAGAATTGACTAAATCATTTAGCAACGGGTGAGAGTTGAAATCTTTTAAAATATATTTAATTAAAATATGTATGTGTGAGGTTGATTATTTTTTAATTTGTTATCTTGAGTTAACAACTGGTCTCCTCTCGTCAAGCATCTTCGGGTGTGTTTGTTTTATTATTTTGGATATTTTTAGAGTTTGGTGGGAATTACGAGGTAGGATTTAAAAATTAACAAAACACCCCTTAATAAAAACATTTAGAATTATAAAAACACCCCCACCCACCCATTAATATCGGCAGTCGGCCACCACCGCCAGAGGGTGGTCGAATTTGCCGTATCAGTGCACGACCGACTAGATTTGGTCGGTCGTGTGTTGAGATGGCCTTTTCCAGCCAAATCCACCATGGATCTAGCCGAAAAAGGCCAAATCTATGGCCAGATCTGGCCATGTTTGGTTGTCAACGAAGGCCAAGATATGGCCATCTTTAGCCATCTTTGACGACTAGCTACTGCCAGATCCACGGTGGATCTGGCCAGAAAATGATAGATCGACGCACTAGCAACAAGATCCAGCCGGTAGTGCGCTATTATACCAGATTCCGGCCACTTTTCGGTGATAACCATCAGAATCTGGCAAATGTAGGTGGGTGGATACGGGTGTTTTTGTTAATTTTTAAACTTTTTTCTGTGGGTGTTTAATTAAATTAATAAACTTAAAGGGTCTAAAAGTAATTGAATAAAATATAATAGTATTTCCTAAATAATTAAAAAAACAATTATTTTGATAATAGGATTGGAAATAGGATAGAAAATAGTATACCAAACAGACCCTTCAATATTTCTTCTTTAGAGATAATTTATCTTAACAACAGTGGCCTATTCAGTAGTCTCCCAGCGGATATCTGCAATCATCTTCTAGCACTTCAGTACCTTAGTCTTTCTCGTAATATGATTAGTGACACTATTCCCAAGAATTTCAACGACTGTACTTCTCTAGAAGTTTTACTTTCAGTCAAAAATCGCCTAACAGGTACAATCTTGCTTCAATTTATGTATTTTAGGTATTAATACTATTTCTTAACTAAATATTTATTTTTAGTTGAATCTCGTAAACTCTTTTGGGGGCGTTTGGTTGAAGGTAATTTAAGATTATTGGGGTTATATCATCTTATATTACTTTATTACCATATTTGGTTGTCAAGTAATATAAGATTTCGATAATGTTGCATTATCAATAGTTGTTACTGTTGATAATATTGGAGGTAATCTGATTATCTCTATTTTCTTAGGTATTGTAAGATTACCAAGGTAATCTTATTTTTGTTGCAATTCTATCCCTTATTAATAAAAATTTTGGACAATAATGCCCCTATTTTAAAATCAATTTACATTAATATACCATTTCAATTTTACCCTTGTTTAATTAAGTTTTTGGACAATAATGCCCTTATATTTAAAACAAATTACAGATCACCACCCCCAGCCACCGTCACTGACAACAGGCCAACCACCACGAACCGCCGTCGGAAAGTTGCTGGAGTCCCTAAAAATGACCGAAAGTCGCTAGAAGGCTCCAGGAGGCTTTGAGATGGCCGTTTCTGGCCATATTGATGGCCGAAAATGGCCATATCAGGCTAGATCTGGCCGAAAATGGCCAGATCTATTCTGGCCATTTCCAACCAAATCGATGGATTTGGCCGTTAAGAGCCAAATCCCTAGCCATTAGTGGCCAGATCTGGGTGAGATCTGGCCGATAATGGCCAAGGATCTGGTCGTTAACAGCCAGATTTTTAACGGCCAAATTCATTGATCTAGCCGAAAATGGCCAAAATAGATCTGGCCATTTCCAACCAGATCTGGCCTGATATGGCCGTTTTCGGCCATCAATACGGCCAGAAATGGCCATATCGGAGCCTCTTGGTCACAGTGAGCTACTCACGACGACTTTCGATGACTTCTAGCGGTGGTTTGTGGTGGCGGCAGGGGGTGGGGGTGATTTTGTCATAAATTAAAGTTTTACGTAAGCGGGGGTGTTTTAGCTAAATCTGAAATATTGGGGGTTAAAAAAATTATTCAAAAATTAATAATAAAAATAATATTATATTAATATTTAAAAAGATGTCAAGTTAGTAATTTAAATAACATACTCACCAATTTATTCCCTCTAACCAAACATATTAATATAACATACTCACCAACTAACCCAACACATTTTTCTAAAAATTCCCAATAATCTTTAAGGTAATATAAGAATCCAGTATCGAACATTTCCAATAATCCAACATTTCCTGGACCAAACGCACCTTTTAAGGTATCCCAAAAGCTGAAGGCTTTATGCATCAATATTTGCATTTTGGCAAGTGAAATTCCAGACGAGATTTGAAATTTGCAGTCTCTACGAGACCTGGCCCTAGGTTGCAATGGCTTAACTGGTATAATTCCAGCATCAATCTTCAATATTTCAACCATAGCAAATATTGGTCTAAACCTGAATAACCTTTCGGGCTGTCTACTGTCAAGCTTAGGCCAATGGCTTCCGAACCTCTAGATTCTTGACGCAGGGCGAAATAAACTTCCTGGAGTGATCCCCAACTCCATCTCCAATGCTTCCAAACTCACTTCCCTAGATCTGACCGAAAACTCATTTTCTGGCCTTTTTCCAAATACATTTGGCAACTTGAGACTCCTTAAATATCTTGGCCATGTGGCAAATAACTTGACCACTGAATCACCCACTACAGAATGGAGCTTTCTCTCTTCTTTGACAAATTGCAGAGAACTAAAAGTTCTTTACTTAGATTGTAATCCATTGTATGGCGTCCTTCCCCTTTCAATTGGGAATATATCAGCATCTCTTCAAATTTTTCATGCAAGTAATTGCAAGATCAAGGGCAGCATTCCGGCAGAAATTGGTAATTTACATAGCTTGTTTGGTTTAGACCTTTCGATGAATGACTTGAATGGATCTATTCCAACTGTGGGAAGATTACCCAACCTCCAAGCTCTAAGCCTCAGAAATAACAATTTGCAGGGATCTGTTCCATATAAGCTTTGTAACTTAGAGAATTTCTATGAATTATACTTTAAGTACCAATGATCTCTCCGGACGCATACAACCGTGCTTGGTGAAATTGATTTTTCTAAGATATCTTTTCTTGGACTCCTACAGATTGACTTCAGAAACCGTCGTCCTTATGGAGTCTTAAAGACATCTTGGAAGTAAATCTGTCATCAAATTCTCTAAGTGGTTCCCTCTCTTCAGACCAACAAAATTTAAATGTTAAGAGTTCTAGATTTTTTCAAAGAATCAATTATCAGGTAATATTCCTGTCACTCTCGGGCACATTGAAACTCTAGAAACTCTATCTTTAGCTCACAATAAATTTGATGGGCCAATCCCTACCACATTTGGCACTTTGATAAGCTTGGTATCACTGGATCTCTCAAACAACAGTCTCTCAAGTGAAATTCCTAAGTCAGTGGAGTCGCTCTCATATCGTAAAAACTTTAACGTGTTGCTTAATAGGTTAGAAGGGGAAATTCCCACCAAAGGACCTTCCAAAAACTTTTCAGCTTGATCATTTTTGTTAAATCATGCATTATGTGGATCACTAAAGCTAGGCGTACCTTTGTGCGAGGGTGGCACCATCAAACGATCTAAGACAACCATTACACTTGTATTGAAATATATTTTGCCTTTGATCTTGTCAATTTTATTGATAGTGATTGTCATCATTGTCTTCAAAAGGTGTCGGTACAAAAGAAAAAATTCCCCCATTGATGAAGTTGATTTGTTACCTTTAGCGAAATGGAAAAGAACATCATATCTAGAAATTCAACAAGCAACTGATGATTTTAGCGAGTGCAACTTGCTTGGTACAGGTAGTTTTGGCACAATATTTAAAGGGATGCTTTCAGGTGGGACTAATGTTGCGATAAAAGTTTTTAATTTACAAGTAGAGCAAGTACTTAGGAGCTTTGACTCTGAATGTGAAGTGTTGCGCAACATTCGTCATCAGAATCTCATAAAAATCTTGAGTAGTTGTAGTAATATTGATTTTAAGGCCCTGATACTTGAATTTATGCCGACTGGAAGCTTTGAGAAGTGGTTGTATTCTCACAACTATTGTCTAGATATGCTGCAAGGGTTGAACATAATGATAGATGTTGCATCCGCTCTTGAGTACCTCCATCACGGTTATTCAACACCTATCATCCATTGTGATTTGAAGCCAAACAATATCCTACTGGATGAAGATATGGTTGCACATGTGAGTGATTTTGGTATTGCAAAACTCTTGAATGATGGAGATTCTAAGACACGAACTACAACACTAGCCACTATTGGATATATGGCACCGGGTGATGTTTCTACTCTAAATCTTAAATTTATATTTTAACTGTTCACACTAAATATTCAAGCATACACATACTATATGGTCTATTATCAATTAGAATATTATATACCGATCATTTGTTTTTAATGATGAAATTAAATTTAAATTTTGTAGAGTACGGATCAATGGGGATTGCTTCCACAAGAGGTGATGTCTACAGCTTTGGTGTTTTATGTATGGAAACTTTTCACAAGAAAGAAGCTTACAGATGAGATGCTTGCTGGAGAAATGAGTTTAAAGAATTTGGTAGAGTCGTCACTGCCTCATGCAGTGACTGAAGTTGTGGATGCTAATTTGTTGAGAGACAAGAATCCTTTTGATGCCAAAGTGAATTGCATGTTAAGTATCATGGATTTGGCTTTGAAATGTTCCATGGAGTCACCTGAACAGAGGATCAATATGAAAGATGCATTAGCAAAACTCAAGAAGATCAAATTTCAGTTTCAGAAAGATGTTTTGGGCACCTAAATAATGTGGTATTGTTGTGTATGTTATTCATGAATTTAATTTCTTGTTTAAGATCATTCTAATCAGTAGTTATCTAGTCAAACATTGAATAACGGATTTTGAGCTAGCTTCAATTTCTAATGTGTAATGGAGAAGTGGCCATATTTGTGATTGCAAAATATTCAGTTTAGCTTCCTTCAGATTATGATATTAAAGTACTACATGCTTAAGAGTGCAGGAAAGGTTGAAACAATTTCTATAACCTCGAAAAATTTGTAGTTATATCAACAACTTTTATTTTTCTGGACATTCGCAAACTGGAAATAAAGTCAATAAATAGATAAAAAACTTAAAACAATCTACTGTTTTATGAACTTCAACCTGTTTTAATAATTATGATACAGCACATTATTAGAAGCCCCTTGATTAATTTAACAATACAGAAGAAGACTTTATTTCTTGTTTTAAACAACAATGAAGAAACAAGAACTAGATACATAATCCCTTATTGTGAAATCCACTAAAGCTATACCATAACATAAATGGAACATAAAAATCAAGGTACCACCAAAATTGATTAGCATTCCCTGAAGGCCTCATAGCGCCTGTGAGGTTCTGATCTGCTGCATAGTGCCATCTGCAGGCATCTGTTTTGAGGCATCGGCTAATGCCGCAACTGCTGCAGCTGGGCTCATGCTTTGGTACTGAGAAGGCAACGGGGCAGCTTGATGTGATGCATAGTAAACTTGTTCATGAGCAGGATTAGCATACTCATAACCATAATTAGCAGCAGCACCAGAAGCAACCGCAATAGACTGAGAAGGATGTTGCAATTGAGAGTAACCAACATACTGTTGTTGAAATTGATTAGCAGGAATTTGGACTAACGCAGGAGTTGAAGTCACAGCCGTTCTGTATACACTTGCAGGCATTTCAGGTTTAGCTTGAGTAGCTGTTTTTGTGGGGTAAATCGGTGGAATTGAGTCTTTGTATGCTGCAGAGGCTGCAACTACCGTCGGAGTTGGAGGCGTCAGTGGGCGGCTTGAGGCCACAACAGTACTAGTGTCAACTAGATTAGATTGCATTGACATGAATGGTTGGTTTTGAGTAACTGGCATTACATAAACCGGGTATTGTGGATCAGTTGGGTGGTGAAGTTGTTGCGGTGGTGGTGCATACACTTGATGATAGTAAGATGAAATTGGCACCGGATTGGTTGCAGGATGGGGAATATAGTGCATGCTCGCGTGTGCAAATTGTTGTTGTTGTTGTTGTTGTTGATGTGTTTGTTGTTGTTGTTGATCTGATTGTGGAGGCAAAACATAAGTCTGATCTTGAATTTGTGAGCTTGGAATTGGGATTTCACTACTTGTATTTGGGCTCGTGGGACCTCTGCTCTCCCTGTGTGTAGCAACAACTTGGTCTTGATAATACATGGGCTTAGAAAGAGAACTTGCAGATGCAATGCTGCTGTCACTGTAAAAATTTTCTCATCAATTATCATTTCGAATACAATAGATGGAATATGAGATACAATAAAAAAATACATTATGAAAGATCTAAGAGAAAGAATGAATTACCTTGCAACAGAGTCAGGGGAAGGCAAATTGTAAGCTGTACCGGCTTTGTGTTGAACTGGCTGCAATGGCAATGGAGGTTTCCTTAACCGGACAGGATTACCATGATCCGATCTCTCATCATCAGATAAAATCCTACTTGAATTTTCACTAGACGCAACTGTATGATTAAGTGAAGTCAGAGCCCCGGAACTACCCAAACTCACTGGAATTGGAGGTGGAATACCTGAGTGAACAACTAATCCATCATCCTGCCTCTGCAAACCACTATGAGCAAAACTCATCTGAGCAAATTNAGAGTGCAGGAAAGGTTGAAACAATTTCTATAACCTCGAAAAATTTGTAGTTATATCAACAACTTTTATTTTTCTGGACATTCGCAAACTGGAAATAAAGTCAATAAATAGATAAAAAACTTAAAACAATCTACTGTTTTATGAACTTCAACCTGTTTTAATAATTATGATACAGCACATTATTAGAAGTCCCTTGATTAATTTAACAATACAGAAGAAGACTTTATTTCTTGTTTTAAACAACAATGAAGAAACAAGAACTAGATACATAATCCCTTATTGTGAAATCCACTAAAGCTATACCATAACATAAATGGAACATAAAAACCAAGGTACCACCAAAATTGATTAGCATTCCCTGAAGGCCTCATAGCGCCTGTGAGGTTCTGATCTGCTGCATAGTGCCATCTGCAGGCATCTGTTTTGAGGCATCGGCTAATGCCGCAACTGCTGCAGCTGGGCTCATGCTTTGGTACTGAGAAGGCAACGGGGCAGCTTGATGTGATGCATAGTAAACTTGTTCATGAGCAGGATTAGCATACTCATAACCATAATTAGCAGCAGCACCAGAAGCAACCGCAATAGACTGAGAAGGATGTTGCAATTGAGAGTAACCAACATACTGTTGTTGAAATTGATTAGCAGGAATTTGGACTAACGCAGGAGTTGAAGTCACAGCCGTTCTGTATACACTTGCAGGCATTTCAGGTTTAGCTTGAGTAGCTGTTTTTGTGGGGTAAATCGGTGGAATTGAGTCTTTGTATGCTGCAGAGGCTGCAACTACCGTCGGAGTTGGAGGCGTCAGTGGGCGGCTTGAGGCCACAACAGTACTAGTGTCAACTAGATTAGATTGCATTGACATGAATGGTTGGTTTTGAGTAACTGGCATTACATAAACCGGGTATTGTGGATCAGTTGGGTGGTGAAGTTGTTGCGGTGGTGGTGCATACACTTGATGATAGTAAGATGAAATTGGCACCGGATTGGTTGCAGGATGGGGAATATAGTGCATGCTCGCGTGTGCAAATTGTTGTTGTTGTTGTTGTTGTTGATGTGTTTGTTGTTGTTGTTGATCTGATTGTGGAGGCAAAACATAAGTCTGATCTTGAATTTGTGAGCTTGGAATTGGGATTTCACTACTTGTATTTGGGCTCGTGGGACCTCTGCTCTCCCTGTGTGTAGCAACAACTTGGTCTTGATAATACATGGGCTTAGAAAGAGAACTTGCAGATGCAATGCTGCTGTCACTGTAAAAATTTTCTCATCAATTATCATTTCGAATACAATAGATGGAATATGAGATACAATAAAAAAATACATTATGAAAGATCTAAGAGAAAGAATGAATTACCTTGCAACAGAGTCAGGGGAAGGCAAATTGTAAGCTGTACCGGCTTTGTGTTGAACTGGCTGCAATGGCAATGGAGGTTTCCTTAACCGGACAGGATTACCATGATCCGATCTCTCATCATCAGATAAAATCCTACTTGAATTTTCATTAGACGCAACTGTATGATTAAGTGAAGTCAGAGCCCCGGAACTACCCAAACTCACTGGAATTGGAGGTGGAATACCTGAGTGAACAACTAATCCATCATCCTGCCTCTGCAAACCACTATGAGCAAAACTCATCTGAGCAAATTTCTCTTCCATCCCATTCTTCTGATCCTCAACACGAACACGAATCGGTGGCAAATTTGACATTGAAGGACTTGAAGAAGACGAGCCAAAAGACGAACTAGTTTCTACAATAGGCGAATCTGGCATAGAATAATGCACTTCATGCGCCACATTTTTCACCTCCCTGTTGTGATCGGCCTCAGGTGGAGCCTCCAAGTCGTTATCGTTATCAAGATTTAGTAAGCAATCCATGGTGGTATCAGAGAGCCCTCTAGGAAGTAGCCCGGAGCCATTGAGAGCGTCAACAAACCAAGTTTCAGATTTGGCATCATCAAGAAGTGATCCCATGGAGGCTGCAGTTTCAGGCTTGTTAAAGAAAAGAAACAGACGAATCCGTGTAGAAGATACAGAAGTTGAAGTTGATGTTAACCGGTCATATTCTTCGATCATGTTCTCGAGATCCTCTTCAGTTGTGATGGATACAAGAGAGTCAAGATCTTCATTAGGAAGCTGGTATTTCATCGTGAAGCTTCGGCCATGGAGAAGAGAACGAGAGAGGCGGGTGCAAAGAGAAGAAAGTGACGAGTGGCGGTCGACCACCACCAGGCGCGTATCTCCACCTACATAGCAGAGAGATTTGTCGTGGGGACGGGGGATAATGTGGCCGCCGTAACTGCACATCAGGCGGAGCTTGGCACCAGGGACTGGCGGCAGAGGGTCATCATAAGTGTCATTATTGCGGGAGCGAGGAGAGGAGTCAATGGAGTCAGGATAATTGAGATGGATAGCAGTGGCAGCAGGGACGGCGGTGGTGGTAGCAGCGGGGATGGGGGTGCTGGTGGGGGTGGTGGGGAGGGGTGGCAGAGGTGGTGGATCCATCAGGAACTTGGTGTTTGAGTTTGTTTTTTATTTGAGGTAATGACTAAGAGAAGTCAAAGAAATTTGATGGTTTTATGCTTCATTTAAATTCAAAGTTGATTGTAGGAGGGAACTGAATAAATGAATGACTTTGATTTTATACGTTTAAAAACAGGTTCAATCAATTTGATACAAGCAGATCTATTTTGTAATAAGTCTTGAAGTCTTGCGAGATTTGTCCTAAGTTTTCGAGTAGATTTGATGGTGGATTATCTTACAATTTATCAGCTTAAACTAATGAAGATAATGGTGGAATAAAGTTTATAATTGGCCATGCTATTGGCAAACTCCAAGATTGTTAGTTACTATGTTATAAAGTCAGTTTGTTTCACTTAGAAAAGATGTTTATCTTTTCCATTGTGCATAAAGCAATCAAAGGATACAATTGGGTTAATGTAATTTTATGATACTAATAAAAGTATCATAAAACAGTCTCTTAAATTTCTTGTATTGACACATTATTAATCATATCATATGGGATCTTAAAATTCCATCTTTGTGTAAAGAGTATTAGTATATTTTAAAGCCTTATATACTAGAAAATTTAATTGAAATTTTATTATTTTTACATTGATTGATACCATCTAATGAGATTTATATTTAAAAAATGCACATGCATGTTGCTGGTGGTTGAAACCAAAAATATTCAAAGCTTAACCTAATCCCATCCCAATGATCCCATTGTATTAGAAATCCTTTTCAATTGGAAATAATTTAATTTAGGAAAGAAAATTTAGCTTTTTAACTACCTCTGAGTGGTTGAGTGGTTCAATAGAGACTTTTGAGTATTTTACTCAAGAGGTCATGAATTCGAGTCTCTTCTCGATTGCTAATATGAGTGATCGCTAGAGCTCGTATTTAGTCGATAATTTCAGAATCCTTAAAGATTAATTGAGATATGTGTAAACTGATAGAATACCTCGGTCATTTAAAGTTAAAAATAAAAAAAAAATAAAAACGTTGGTTGGTGAGCTAATTATTGGAAGTGAAGTGAATTGGTGTGATAAAATTATCGGGAGTTTAATACTTAAGCGAAGGCCATGCATCAGGACTTGGTGGGAATTGGACTGATCACATGCAGTAGTATAGGTAATTGTGCCCATGTATATTATTTTTCTTATTTATTATTGAGTAATGAAATTGAAGAGAGGTTCGATAGAGAGGCACTCGTTAATGGCCAGCTGCTCTTATAAAATTAAGCAAAATTCATCACTTTTGACAGTTTGCGTTTGCACTTTGCTTCCTTCAGATACGAGGAAGCTGTAAGACCATAACTTCAATATTCACCATAGCAAATATTGGTCTAAACCTGAATAACCTTTCGGGCTGTCTACTGTCAAGCTAGGCCAATGGCTTCCGAACTCTAGATTCTTGACGCAGGGCGAAATAAACTTCCTGGAGGATCCCCAACTCCATCTCAAGCTTCCAAACTCACCTCCCTAGATCTGACCGAAAACTCATTTTCTGGCCTTTTTCCAATACATTTGGCAACTTGAGACTCCTTAAATATCTGGCCTGTGGCAAATAATGACCCCTGAATCACCCACTACAGAATGGAGCTTTCTCTCTTCTTACAAATTGCAGAGAACTAAAAGTTCTTTACTTAGATTGTAATCCATTGTATGGCGTCCTTCCCCTTCAATGGGAATATATCAGCATCTCTTTAATTTTTCATGCAAGTAATTGCAAGATCAAGGGCAGCATTCCGGCAGAAATGGTAATTTACATAGCTTGTTTGGTTTAGACCTTTCGATGAATGACTTGAAGGATCTATTCCAACTGTGGGAAGATTACCCAACCTCCAAGCTCTAAGCCTCAGAAATAACAATTTGCAGGGATCCTTCCATATAGCTTTGTAACTAGAGAATTTCTATGAATTATACTTAAGTACCAATGATCTCTCCGGAGCATACAACCTGCTTGGTGAAATTGATTTTCTAAGATATTTTCTTGGACTCTACAGATTGACTTCAGAAACCGCGTCCTTATGGAGTCTTAAAGACATCTTGGAAGTAAATCTGTCATCAAATTCTCTAGTGGTTCCCTCTCTTCAGACCAACAAAATTTAAATGTTAAGAGTTCTAGATTTTTCAAAGAATCAATTATCAGGTAATATTCCTGTCACTCTCGGGCACATTGAAACTCTAGAAACTCTATCTTTGCTCACAATAAATTTGATGGGCCAATCCCTACCACATTTGGCACTTTGATAAGCTTGGTATCACTGGATTCTCAAACAACAGTCTTCAAGTGAAATTCCTAGTTAGTGGAGTCGTCTCATATCGTAAAAACTTTAACGTGTTGCTTAATAGGTTAGAAGGGAAATTCCACCAAAGGACCTTCCAAAAACTTTTCAGCTTGATCATTTTTGTTAATCATGCATTATGTGGATCACTAAAGTAGGCGTAACTTTGTGCGAGGGTGGCACCATCAAACGATCTAAGACAACCATTACACTTGTATTGAAATATATTTGCCTTTGATCTTGTCATTATTTTTTGATAGTGATGTCATCATTGTCTTCAAAAGGTGTCGGTACAAAAGAAAAAATTCCCCCATTGATGAAGTTGATTTGTACCTTTAGCGAAATGGAAAAGAACATCATATCTAGAAAATTCAACAAGCAACTGATGATTTAGGAGTGCAACTTGCTGGTACAGGTAGTTTTGGCACAATATTTAAAGGGATGCTTTCAGGTGGGACTAATGTTGCGATAAAAGTTTTTAATTTACAGTAGAGCAAGTACTTAGGAGCTTTGACTCTGAATGTGAAGGGTTGCGCAACATTCGTCATCAGAATCTCATAAAAATCTGAGTAGTTGTAGTAATATGATTTTAAGGCCCTGATACTTGAATTTATGCCGACTGGAAGCTTTGAGAAGTGGGTTTATTCTCAACTATTTCTAGATATGCTGCAAGGGTTGAAAATAATGATAGATGTTGCATCCGCTCTTGAGTACCCATCACGGTTATCAACACCTATCATCCATTGTGATTTGAAGCAACAATATCCTACTGGATGAAGATATGGTTGCACATGTGAGTGATTTTGGTATGCAAAACTCTTGAATGATGGAGATTCTAAGACACGAACTACAACACTAGCCACTATTGGATATATGGCACGGGTGAGTGTTCTACTCTAAATCTTAATTTATATTTTAACTGTTCACACTAAATATTCAAGCATACACCTACTATATGGTCTATTATCAATTAGAATATTATAATGATCATTTGTTTATGATGAAATTAAATTTAAATTTTGTAGAGTACGGATCAATGGGGATTGCTTCCACAAGAGGTGATGTCTACAGCTTTGGTGTTTTATGTATGGAAACTTTCACAGAAAGAACTACAGATGAGATGCTGCTGGAGAAAGAGTTTAAAGAATTTGGTAGAGTCGTCACTGCCTCATGCAGTGACTGAATTGTGGATGCTAATTGTGTGAGAGACAAGAATCTTTTGATGCCAAAGTGAATTGCATGTTAAGTATCATGGATTTGGTTTGAAATGTTCCATGGAGTCACCTGAACAGAGGATCAATATGAAAGATGCATTAGCAAAACTCAAGAAGACAAATTCAGTTTCAGAAAGATGTTTTGGGCACCTAAATAATGTGGTATTGTTGTGTATGTTATTCATGAATTTAATTTCTTGTTTAAGATCATTCTAATCAGTAGTTATTAGTCAAACATTGAATAAGGATTTTGAGCTAGCTTCAATTTCATGTGTAATGGAGAAGTGGCCATATTTGTGATTGCCAAATATTCAGTTTAGCTTCCTTCAGATTATGATATTAAAGTACTAATGCTAGAGTGCAGGAAAGGTTGAAACAATTTCTATAACCTCGAAAAATTTGTAGTTATATCAACAACTTTATTTTTTTTCTGACATTCGCAAACTGGAAATAAAGTCAATAAATAGATAAAAAACTTAAAACAATCTACTGTTTTATGACTTCAACCTGTTTTATAATTATGATACAGCACATTATTAGAAGCCCTTGATTAATTTAACAATACAGAAGAAGACCTTATTTCTTTTTTTAAACAACAATGAAGAAACAAGAACTAGATACATAATCCTATTGTGAAATCCACTAAAGCTATACCATAACATAAATGGAACATAAAAACCAAGGTACCACCAAAATTGATTAGCATTCCTGAAGGCCTCATAGCGCCTGTGAGGTTCTGATCTGCTGCATAGTGCCATCTGCAGGCATTGTTTTGAGGCATCGGCTAAGCCGCAACTGCTGCAGCTGGGCTCATGCTTTTGTACTGAGAAGGCAACGGGGCAGCTTGATGTGATGCATAGTAAACTTGTTCATGAGCAGGATTAGCATACTCATAACCATAATTAGCAGCAGCACCAGAAGCAACCCAATAGACTGAGAAGGATGTTGCAATTGAGAGTAAACAACATACTGTTGTGTGAATTGTTAGCAGGAATTTGGACTAACGCAGGAGTTGAAGTACAGCCGTTCTGTATACACTTGCAGGCATTTCAGTTTAGCTTGAGTAGCTGTTTTTGTGGGGTAAACGGTGGAATTGAGTCTTTGTATGCTGCAGAGCTGCAACTACCGTCGGAGTTGGAGGCGTCAGTGGGCGGCTTGAGGCCACAACAGTACTAGTGTCAACTAGATTAGATTGCATTGACATGAATGGTTGGTTTTGAGTAACTGGCACTTACATAAACGGGTATTGTGGATCAGTTGGGTGGTGAGTGTTGCGGTGGTGGTGCATACATTGATGATAGTAAGATGAAATTGGCAACGGATTGGTTGCAGGATGGGGAATATAGTGCATGCTCGCGTGTGCAAATTGGTTGTTGTTGGTGTTTGATGTGTTTGTTGTTGTTGTTGATCTGATTGTGGAGGCAAAACATAAGTCTGATCTTGAATTTGTGAGCTTGGAATTGGGATTTCACTACTTGTATTTGGGCCGTGGGAACTCTGCT